TAAATAAAACACATATTAAAAAAAATTGTTGCTCTCGAGTTAAAAAATATTTTTATTACTTTCAAATTGGCTTGCGTTAAAAACAAAATTTCGAAAGAATAATTATATTTATTGTTATAAATTTGAGAAGTTTTTTTCACAGACATATCAAAATCTCTTTTAAAACTTATTATTGATTCTTTTATTTCAATGAAAAAAAAGTTTTTTACTTTGATAGAAATTTTCGTGTATATCTAAGATTAGTTTGATTGTGAATATCATATTCATCTACCAAAACTATTTTTAAGAAAATCAACTTGAGATAAAAAAAAAGTTTGGCGTTGACTTTTGGAGAATTGATTTATTTGGGTGTTATATCTCCTAAAACCATCTCTTATATATAGAGTGGAGGAGGCTATGTATAATTATGAGTTGATACTATCAAGATTAGTTAAAAAAAATAGTGGGCTACGTAATTAAAAACAATTAGTTAAAAAAAAATTACGATGAGAGAGTCATTAGTGGATTAGAGGGCTACATAATTAGTTAAAAAAAATTGTGGGCTAGTAATTAAAAAAGGGATTTGGTCTCTTTAATGGATTAAGAGATTTTGATTAATGAGCTTAATTAAAGAGTCAAATTGCCATATTATATTTTATCAATGTTATGTCAAAATAAAAATGTGAGAATGATTCTTGAGAAGACATCTAAGCTAATCACTTCTTTATTAATATATAATAGATGTGTTGAGTGATGTGTATCTAATGAATCATACTCTTTCTGAATTACACAAAGACAAAAGTTCTTATGAAATCATCTTTGGCAAAACTCATGCGTGTAATGAAATGCACATCTTTGAATGTATGCCGTATGACCATAACAAAAACGACATATATATATATAAATTTGCGACTAGTTTCCTATTCGATTAGAACTTGATCTAGTTAGGATTTGATGTGATTGCATATATAATTAATTAATCTAAATCTCTCTTGAATATGTTCGCACGAAGGCACATGAAACATATAAGACATTATGAATTCTACAAAACGTGTTTAGTGTATGAGAAAACGAATAATTCATTTAACAAAAAAAAAAAAAAACACGTACACACACACATAAATTCAAATGGTTAAACCTATGAGACCTTTGCAGATGTTTGATGTTGTTAACTCGTTGTTGTTGCAGTTCAAAAGGACGACGAGTTCACAAAATAGATGGTCATTTTCCACGCAAATTGATATTTGATATTAACTGACTTTTTCTGCATTGATTTAGTCACACATTTTTATAATAGAAGAATATAATCAAAGATTCATGGATAGTAGATACCTAATCAAATCTTGAATACTTGTTACATTAAACTATATGGAGAAGAAAAGAATTACCAACTAACCCTGACCACGGTTAGCAAAACAACCCATCAAATAGAGATATTAACAAAACTATTTGTAGTTCCAATCATAGATATATTATGTTTAAGTGTACTATGTTATAATTTAAATCTTATTGATTCATTTAGTATTATTATTTCAAAGATTTTGAATTAAATTTTTAAATTTAAATCCATGTGATAAAATTTTATAGCGTGATTCTCATAAACTTGTATAGTCATGAAAATTCTTCGAAATAATTAATAGATAATTTAACGATAGACTTGTTAAACATTTCAACTGCCACTTTGAAAGATGCTAAATACAAATGTATAGAATAACTTTAGAATTTAGACCACGTCAAACAAGACATACGATCTTGCCCTTTAAATAGATGGATCTAATGCTTC